TGAAATAACATTACGATAAGATTGATCTTATTTTTTTTTTCTTTTAATATGTCAGGCGTTCAATGTGAGAAGCTGTGGACTAAAGATAGTAATTGGTATGAAACTGACTTATTGAGAATATTTGTCAAGAACAATAATTCGGAATCGTCGAAGCGACCAAGAAATTTTACTCAAATTAGGTTAAAGTCTAGATTTTTGGACAAACTTCACATGCTACTTCCGAGATTCTTTTCTTTTCTCACACGCGACTAACCAGATTCGTATAAGAAAAGATTTCGGTATTTTTGGGAGGTATGAACCAATGCAAGGAAAGTCAACATCTCGAATTCCTTTATTTAGCAAAATTTGGGAAATTATCAATAAAGGATTATGCGTCACATTTGTTCTTTTTTAATTTGTTTTGATCTGGAATATAATCTTTTGTTCTACATCTTACCCTTTTTTGTTCTATCTTTTAAACAATCTCTCTATTTCGATGGTTCATTAAATAACTTTAAATAAGTTATTTTTACATTTTATTGAGATTCATCCCATCCAATGACAAAATGGGTTATTGGCAAAAATGTCTCACATAAAATAACTCGGTTAATGTAGCACAAGCTTGTTTGCCAAGCTTTTGTGATACAATTTAAATTCAATGAATTACTATGTTTGGACGTAATATCAAAATGGAAAACAAGGACTTTGACATTGTAATTTTTATCTTTGATATCTTCATTTAATATTTCAATATGGAATTTCTTTGATTCATTCGTTGTAGGAAAAGAAATCTTTTATTATATGTTTAGAGCAAATATTCATTTTATTTCTGGATGCTCATACAAATAATTGAGCTTAAACCTTATTCTTTTCATAATGAAGGAGGCAACAAGAAATTTATCTCGTTTTTTGTTTTTTTCTCGATAAAATTAATGCAGTGTAAATCGATGACGATCATCATCATCATTTAATCGACAAGGATTTTTCCGGGTAGAGGTATTAAATAGTTTTCAACTACTTATCAAGTATATTTCATAGAAACCTAATGTGATACATGGTTTATTGAAAACGAGCATTGTATGAAATGAATGATTTGTTATTTGATCATGTATTCATAACTCGAACCCAGTTATTTTCCTAAAGTCTTTGACTAAAAGTTATTTTAAGTTTCTCAAACGTTGGGTTACATCCTATTAAGGTTAAACCATACACTTTGGCGTAATAAACAGGTTTTTTTTGTGTCAAACAATAAACAATACTGGGCAAGATGATTATTGGTGTTATCGATCACAATCCTTTTGATTGTTTGTGGAGTTATATTTTATATATAATAAACAAAAGAATATATATTAAATAACAAAGAATTCTTTACTAATTATAAATAATGGTTGTTAATTTGGTCGGGTCAGTAGCCCGATATGGTCAAGGTTATGACCGTGACCATTAGCATCCCTAGAAAGGCATATTTATTAGCACCAAGGAAAATTCGAATAAAAGAAGGAAAAAAAATAATTTATAATTCAACATATGAAAAAATCTTTATTATTTAATTTTTTTT